GGAGACCATATCTATAGTAGGATATTGATACTTTAGAGAGAGTTCAGAGAAGGGCAACTAAACTGGTTCATGGATTGCAGGTTAAAACCTACAAGGAAAGGTTAAAGGATTTTAACCTGTATAGCTTGGAGGAAAGACGAGACAGGGGGGATATGATAGAAACATTGAAATACATAAAGGGAATCAACACAGTAAAACAAGAGACTATATTTAAAAGGAGAAATGCCACAACAAGAGGACATAGTCTTAAGTTATAGGGGCAAAGGTTTAAAAATAATATCAGGAAGTATTACTTTACTGACAGGGTAGTGGATGCATGGAATAGCCTTCCAGCTGAAGTGGTAGAGGTTAACACAGTGAGGGAGTTTAAGCATGCGTGGGATAGGCATAAGGCTATCCTAGACTTACGATAAGGCCAGGGACTGATTCAAAGTATTTTTAAATATAGGGCAGACTAGATGGGCCGAATGGTTATTATCTGCCGTCACATTCTATGTTTCTATGTGGCAACACCCCGCTCTATGCCAATCAGCATCTGCTCATAGAGATACATTGACTCAAGAGGCAGAGCATGGAGACACTGAACATAGATGCTGTACATTGTGTAGCACTTAACCATGAAGCATCTCTAGTGGCCATCTGAGTGACTGTCACTAGAGGTGTTTCTATATGGCACTGTAAACACTGCCTTTTCTGTGAAATTGCATTGTTTACATTGCTAGGACTGCAGGGACATTCTACAGTCACCAGAACCATTGCATTAAACTGTAGTGGTTCTGGTGACTATAGTGTCTCTTTAACTGCGATTTTATTATACCATTTGTAACTGTAGACATTTATAAAATATTGGTTGGTATCGTTCTGTTATAACTAATCCAGCAACTCCATGAATATTACAAACTAAAGTATACCTTTTAGCCTCTGGGGGAAATAGTCAGTTGCCTTGTAGAGGGGGTGGGCAGGGGTCTTGTAGAGAGAGGGACAGGGGGTTTTGTAGAGAGGGTGGCAGAGATCTTTTTGGAAAGGGGGCAGGGATTTTTGTAGAGAGAGTGACAGGGGGTTTTGTTGAGACTGGCAGGAGTTTTTGTAGAGCGGGGGCAAATGTTTTTGTAGAGGTGCAGAGGGGGGCAGGGTTTTTTGTGGAACAGAGAAAAAAAATTGTGTTTTTTTTTACATTTGCGTGGGGTGGGGGGGGTGGGGGGAAGAGGTGTGTTAAATACAGGATCCACCCTGAGTGCCAAATGCTCTAGGTACGCCCCTGCGTCTTGAAGTTCTGGCATTGAAACCTTATGTGTTTAGTATGTACCTTACTGTGCTCACTAAAACCTTAGTACATGTTGCCACACTCTTGCTGCAGGTCATTTGCACTCATCAAGGGCTTTTCCACAGCCTGCCTTCTCCGAAATCTGGTACCATCAACTTCCACCTCAAAATTCATCGTTCTGGGGTGGTTACAAATAAATAATAAAATTAATAAATAATAAAATGAAATAAGATAATACTATATTATAGCACACACTTTTTATTTTACTCTATTACACTATGTACTTCTTATTTTGTCTATTCTAGATGTTAACAGCTGTATCCCATTTTCTGTGTAACATGTTGCTTTCCTTTTTCTGCCCTGTCCAGGTAGTGTAACCACTGTTCCTTCAACTTTTAACTTTTGAACTATGCTTCCAAAGATGTCTCTAGGAACATTTAGTACCTTCACTATCTTTTGTTATCCTCTTCCTTTTTTATGAAGGATGGTGATCTCTTCTATTTGTGGACCAATCTTTTGACTTAGACATATTTTAACATGCAGTCAAACGTGACACTCAACAAATACCTAGCCAATTAAGGTATTTCAAGTGTTTTTTTTAGCTCAAGCACACTTAGTAAACTAATGAAGCCCTTAATTAGTTGCACCAGTGTGCTTGAGACAACACCTGTTTTGCATATTTGTGGTGCTGTGAGGGGTTCTATTCAGGGGGTTGAATTATTTTGAGACTGGAGATGTCATTATAAGTTGCATTTTCAGTTGAATTAGGGGAAACCACTTGACCCATCTGTTGTGTTGAGTTATTTCAATTGCTTTTGTTTGATGTGTTGATTGCAAACAGCTGAAAGTCTGTGCATTTTCACAATAAACCTTATTTTCAATGGTGTTTGAATACTTTTTATTACAACTGTAGGACTGGCTAAGCAGAATCATCTTTCCAGAGATGGGTATTTTTCTATTTTTGGACAAACCACCACTTGTAGAGTTTATTTTTTGAGTATTTTTCTAAACTCCTACATACTTATTAACCCTTTAAAGGGAACCCAGGGGGTAGGTGGCAGCATTGTAACATGGCTGTGTATTACAAAAGCAAATAATCATTAATAGTTGCACTTTAAGCACTTCATTTTATACAAACACTACTCTTTATGTTCACTACAACATATGTTTAGATATTTAGTACATTGAATAATATATATAATAATTATTGTGCATTACAACATATTTTAGCTTATTCATAGCCAATGCTTTTTTATGGGTGATAGAGAGTGGCAGATCCCTGCTGTTTAGATGGCGGCAAAGGCTTTAAAGTTTCCCTTTTGTGCACAAATCACTGCACAATACATCCGTTTATGTGTTGCTTTAAAGGGACATTATAGGCACTTAATCTCATTTTGAATTGGTCTAGGTGTAGCGTCCTTGTCCCTTTAACTCTGCAATGTTCATTATTTCAGTTTCTGAGAACAGAATATTAATTATTGCAGCATTGACTCCTCCTCTAGAGGTACTTTTTGGTGTTTCTTGGAGTTTTGAAAGACCCTATAGGAAAGCATTGATTCAGTGCTTTACTATGGTGAATCCCTAATATGCATGTGGCACACAATACACATGTAAATTATGGTGAAACCCAGTAGTAATACAGGACTGGAGCTAAGATATCAAGCCACCCAACATGACATAATAGGCCTTTGGCCAACGCCCCATCAATGCGAAGGTATTTATGGGTCTTTATATTGCCCACATGGAGTTTTAGATGACTAACAGTTGCATCTGAAACATATTTAGATATTATGAGTAACATATCATTTTATAATTAAACATAACAAGCTTGTATGTGATTGTACGATTGTGTCGGACATTGTACTGATAGAGTTGTAAGTACATGAATGAAAATTGCTTTGTAAAATCTGATGAATCAGAGGAATGTTGAGTCATTAGGAAAACGCCCTTAGTTCTATTATGATTAAAAATATAGTTACCATTGTATTAATAACAGACAGAAACATGACCTTGGAAAGTTTGATGTTAAAATAAACAGCAGAATTGCAACCCTGGCCTTGTTCGTATTGAACACATTTAATATGTTAGAGTTTCAGCAGTCAAGAACTTATTATATTTACAAGTCAGCAAATAGGGAAATTCAGGAATGAAAATATTACTATATTAGTAAACAATATTTGAAAAAATATGATTACATTTATCTAAATAATTGTGGCTCTGCCGTTACTAACCTATCAAGGTTCCCTGTTTAGAAGGGACAATTCCTACTTTGAGCCTTAATCCATATGTCCCTCTTTTCTATCCTAATGTTCCTCTTTTCTAGGAGCTCAATATTCTTGCTGAGTGTTAACAGAGCCCCACAGCAATAATTCTCTACTACAATAAAGGTGTTAAGAAATCAGCCTGTGTAAGTAAGATACAGTGTTCTTGCTCTAAATTTAAACAATTACTACGAACAGTCCAACCCTGGCCACACCCCTAAAATTAAAATGTTTTAAAGTGTATTGAATGTATATGTATTTAGTAACACAGTAGAAGAGTTGAAAAATGGGGGAAAAACTAGTTACATTTGCAATACAAAAGTAAAAAAAAAGGCCACGTGATGGCCACATGAGGCACTCCCGCTATCACCATCCGAGCCACCACGGACCTATAACAGGGCATGCCAGGACGCCTAAAACGGGCGGAGGACCCAGAGAACCCGGAGGACCCTGGAAGCACCAAGGAGATCCGACATGCTGGAGAAGTAGACCTGTGCAGTTGCAGCTGTGGCTCCTGGGATCAGCATGCCTGGAAGTGCTCCTGCCCCTGCTGCTGCTGCCACTGTTCCTCATGCTGGTGCTGCAACCTTATTGAGGAGGTTTATATGTGAGGTAGGAGCACCTGTGGGAGAAGTGAGGGAGGTTAATGTGGTGCAAAGCAGGGAAGCAAGGGGATTCTTCAAGGATAGCCCCCAGAGGAGCTCACAAGGCAGCCAAGGAAGTACCCCATAAGAGCAGAGGTACCGCTGGAGGAGGCAGAAGTTCATGCCCTGTTGCTTCAATTACCATCTAGAGCTGATATGGAAAATATGATGGGGAAACTAGAGGCAAGGTTTTCTGATAAGATGCAGTCCCTCCATACTGATTTAATTCAACTAGGTACAAGAGTTCAGACCCTGGAAATGGCCACAAGATGTGGGTCCTTACAAGACACCTTGAAGTTCCATAATGAAGCCCTTAAGTATCTACATAGGAAAATAAATGATCTAAAGAACAGAGGAAGGAGAAATAATCTTAGAGTGAGAGGGATCCCTGAACCGTCTGGGAAATAAATAGAAGATTTGCCTCAGATACTGCAACAGTTATTTACGACAATCAGGGTAGGTTTGTTTTTATTAAGGGCACACTTAGTAATGTGAAATTTAAATTTGCTAATGTTTATGCTCCCAATAGGCAACAAGTTATATTCATTAGGCGCACTAAAGTGTCCCACTGAAAATTCTATTAATTTTGATAGGGTACATAGAATATCCCGACCCAGAAACTTATCTCAAGCAGACCCATGTTATATATTGCTTTAATAATTTTTCTCAGAAAGAAAACATTTGCATTTGACAAGATCACAAAAAGATTGAGGATTTTTCTGTTAAAATTTTCCAAGATATTTATAAAACAACGTTACAAGCACGCAGAGCATTAAGACCGTTCACTACAATGCTTAACTAAATAAATATACAACTTACATGGACATTTCCCTTTAGTCTAACTCTGGCCCAACAGGGCATAATGGCGACAATTGCATCACCTTCCGATGTTCAGACCTTTTTACGTACTCTAGCTGAATACTCCTGAAAAACGTATAATTCTTGTGAATGATATGCACAGGAGCTTTGCTGATGTGTGCTTTATTCAAGAGACCCACTTTAGGGGAGATTCGGCACCCATATTATGCTCAAAATATATTTCACAGGGATTTTATAGCAATTACCAGGAGGAAAATCAATAGGAGTGGCAATTCTCTTTTCGAATAAGATTGTCTTTAACTTGATTGGCTCACTTACTGACCCTCAGGGTAGGTTTGTTTTTATTAAGGGCACACTTAGTAATGTGAAATTTAAATTTGCTAATGTTTATGCTCCCAATAGGCAACAAGTTATATTCATTAGGCGCACTTTGGATAAATTAGAATCTTTCATAGAAGGTCTTCTGGTGGTGAGAGGGAATCGGAATTTAGTATTAGATCAATCACTGTATAGTACATGTAAGGGAAATGACTCTCTTAAGCATAAAAGAGTCCTACTACAAAAGACCTTGCTTGCCCATCAGCTGGTATATAGTTGGTGAACTGTCAATCCAATCGGGAGAGATTATACTCTTTTTATCACATTCGGCCAACAGTTATTCAAGACTGTATATGCTTCTTCTACCCCATAGACATCTTTATTTGATTCAAAATGTGTCCAGTGGGAGCATTACATGGTTGGATTATGCCCCCATTTTTTTATATCTAAGGCTCTCAGGTATTAATCTCCCAAAATCAAGGTGGTGTCTGAATGAGTCCCTATTAGAGGACCAAAGAGTACAAGATGAAACGAAAACCACCATAGCATCTTACTTTGATGATAATAAATAATCTGATATTCAGGATTTGTGGATTTGGGACGTCCATAAGTGTGTACTTAGAAGGACCCTAATTAAATGGGGCCTGCATATAAAAATGACATTCATTCATAAAATAGAAATGGAAGAGATGGTCCACAAGTTAAATTCATCCTTTGAGATCTATGAACGCCTTGTAGCATACAGAATACAGTTGAAAAGTCTGCTCAACTTACATGCACAGTGTATGATTCAGCTCAAACGTAAATCTTTTTATTCACACGGTAACAAGTGTGGAACATCTTTAGCAAGGGCCTTGAAGAATATGCTTCAGTCTTCTTATATATAAAAAATTAAAGATTAAAAGGGGAATCAGCATATGACAATAGAATCTACAACGCAGGCATTTTATTTATACTAATGCAATACATAAATTTCCTTTCACAATATCACAGAATCTAAAGTGCTTCAATCAAGAATAAAGTGCACTAATTAAAAATAATAAAGTGCTTAAGTGAGCTGAAGTGCATAAATACACTTAACTTCCCTTCTAGCAGTGGAACAACCCAAAAATCTCCTCAAATCTTCAATGAATACAGATACAATATATAGGGTAAATTCAGCTATGAGAAACAAGAACAATAAAATACAGTGCAGCACTGTGATGCCCAGTATGGTGAACAATATAGTGCCAATGGGTCACTAACACTTTGTCATCAGATTTTGAGCCTTTAGAAATCTCTAGATGTATGTCTTCTCACTTCCTGCATCATGATGTTGTGGGTCTCAATCATGTGGAAGATAGAATGTGGTCAAATAAGATAACTGAATATTAAAAGTATAATAGAAAATGTATTTACTTACACATAAGTAAAGAAAATCTGGCATCAAATATTCAAGTTTAAAATCCTATGCGTTTCATCCCTCTCAGGGACTTCCTCAGGGATTGTTGGAGACCGTATACTTTTTTGGCACTTATCTACAACAATCCCTGAGGAAGTCCCTGGGGAGGAAGGATGGCACCTTTGTCTCCCTGTAACTCACTCTGCCGCCGGGGAGGAAGGACGGCACCCTGGGATTCACTGGACTCCTCGGGAGAGGGACCCACTGTCTCCTCTCCTAAGGACACACACTGTCGCTGGGGAGGAAGGACGGCACCTTCGTCTCCCTGTAACACACTCTGCCGCTGGGGAGGAAGGACGGCACCTTTGTCTCCCTGGGACTCACTGGACTGCTGGGGAGAGGGACCCACTGTCTCCTCTCCTAAGGACACACACTGCCGCTGGGGAGGAAGGACGACACCTTTGGCTCCCTGTAACTCACTCTGCCGCTGGGGAGGAAGGACAGAACCTTTCTCTCCCTGGGACTCACTGGACTGCTGGGGAGAGGGACACACTGTCGCTGGGGAGGAAGGACGACACCTTTGGCTCCCTGTAACTCACTGTGCCACTGGGGAGGAAGGATGGCACCTTTGTCTCCCTGGGAATGACTGGACTGCTGGGGAGAGAGACCCACTGTCTCCTCTCCTAAGGACACACACTGCCGCTGGGGAGGAAGGGCGACACCTTTGGCTCCCTGTAACTCACTCTGCCGCTGGGGAGGAAGGACAGAACCTTTGTCTCCCTGGGACTCACTGGACTGCTGGGGAGAGGGACACACTGTCTCCTCTCCAAAAGATACACACTGCCGCTGGGGTTTCTCCCGATGTGCCAACCCCCTCGTCTGCTCTGTTTTAAACGGCAAGTACTCTCCCACTATTTTCCTCATGAACTGCATGGTTTTCTCAGGGGGGTTGGGTCCAAAGTAAGCCAGCAGCGCGGTAACCTCTCTGTCAAATGCCTCCTGAGTGTAGCTGGGCGCCATGCTTGAGCTGCTGAAGTTGGTTCTTTTGTAGGTAGGGGCGCTGTACGAGTACTAGCGTTGCCCTCAATTTGTAATCCAGGAACTGGTATTGCCTTGTAGCTGTCCTTCTGGGCTGTGGGAATGATCCCACCGCTGCCACCAATTGTAACGGACCGTTTTGCACACAAGAGGTTAAAACCCATTTAGGCGATATTCCCCTTTTCAGATGCACAGACAGCTACTGCAATCACCAATCTCCCGAACTGCAACACATGAATTCACCAATCTCCCGAACTGGAACCAGGGGAATGCTCCAAACTCCCGAACAGGAAACACACGAATGCTGTAAACAGCCGAACAGGAAAAAACATACGAACAGTTTACACTCCTGGCAGTCACACTGTAACAGCATACAATCCATTTTCCCCAAGAACGAGACAAAGCTTCGTGTTGAGGGTCAAGCAGTGAACAGATTTACTGGGGCTACCTGTCTGGCTTTTATGCAGGTCTTCCACCTGGTGGACACTCCCTTAGGGGACCAGATGGAAGACTGGGAAACATATTGGACATTGACCAATCACAGACATACACCTTTAAACACTCCCACAATTACATCACAATCCCTCCTCTCTATCCTGGAGATAATTGGGAAGTAATCCAATTATCTCCCAGGACAGAGGCAAAACTCTATTGAGCACATGTTAGTAAAAAGACAAAAAAAAAGATGCAATGTTGCAAATAATGAATAAAACACATACATTCTACATATCCCCAGATAGCTTAGATCTGAGCGCACATTATTACCGAATGGTGCTCAGATCACATACATACAGTTCAATTGCCATGGAGTCAAAGTCTTTCCCATAGTCTTTCGTTACACAAATAGGCTCCATGGCATGGCTATCTGGGGTGATGCTGTTCATACGGTTAAACTACCGAATGAACAGGCATTCGGTTATACTACCGAATGCAGAGGTTAGGAGGCTGGCGGCTCAGCGGTGTTTGCGCAAATAAGTGTCCGTTTCCAGTTCCATAGTTTGGGCGCTGAACACCGCTGGCCGTTCGGGAGTTAAAATGGCCGCTGCCACGTGTTCGGCAAACGAACAAAGGCCACCCAGCATTCGTCAATTAAGCTGCGGTTAACTGCAGCTTCTGGGCGGCCAATTGACGGCACACTCCAGTTCCCAGGTGGTCGATCGTTCGGTACTTTGTTCGGCAGAAAGGCACAAAAGGCACGAAAAAGCCTTTCTGCATGGAAAATAAAAGGGTTTAAATGCCGGGCCATAGTCTAAAGGGAGCAGGCGAGCAACCAGGCTCCTCCAGTGCACAGTGGCGAGGTTGGTTCCGCCACAACCCTATATATTGTATGTATTTTATTTATACTATCAGGGATTGTACAATCTTCCTAGACCACCAAGAACTAAAGATATAACAGAGAAAATACAGTTTAATTCATTGGAATCTTTGGACGCTCCTATAACAGGTTAAGAGTTTGAAAAGGCAATTAAATCCTTTCCATTAAGAAAACGTCCAGGTCCGGATGGCCTTAGGATTTGTTATTATAAGTTGTTATGCCCTATTTGGTAGAATATTTAAGGCCTTTAATTCAATAGCCCCTGGGATAACATTACCTCCACCAATGTTACAAACTTCAATTACACTAATTCTGAAATAAGGAAAAGACCCCCTCTTGTGTGGGAGCTATAGACCAATTTTTTGATAAATATGGATTTAAAACTTTATGCGAAAATGTTGGTGCTCCCTCTCAAACCCCTCTTGCCTGTACTGGTCCACCCTGATCAGGCAGGCTTTGTGACAGGAAGAGAAGCATGAGATAATATTACTAAAATACTAATTGTTATACATGGTGCAAAATCTTCCAAGAAGTCTGTAGCGCTTTTGGCTATAGACGCAGAGAAAGCCTTTGAGAGGGTGGACTGGTTCTATCTTTTTATTGTATTACAGGTGCAGGGATTTGGGGGGAGTTTTAGACAGTAGGTTAAGGCCCTTTACAACGGCCCTACAGATTGTGTAAAGGTGTATGGAGAGTTTTCAAAATATTTTTCTATTTGAAATGGAACAAGGTAGGGATGCCCTGTGTCCCCTCTTTTTTTTGTTTTAGCCATGGAACATTTTTTTTATAGGCTATAAGGAAGAATGAATTTATAAGTGGATATTTAGTTCAAGGAGGAGAACTGAAGGTCTCCGCTTTTGCGGATGACATTCTGTTTTTGTTAACACATCCTATACAATCTTTGACGTAAGTAAAAATCAAAATAGAAACATTTAGCATAATACCTAATTTTAAGGTGAATATCACCAAATGTGAGATACTAGGAATCAATATATCAGGAGCTTTGACTCTAAGTTTAGGAACCGCACGTGAGTATCATTGGCCATTGGGGAGGGCTTACATATTTGGGGGTCTATCTTACATCCTCAATTGCTGGTCTTAAAAAGCCAACAACATACCACTTTGGACAGAAATTAAATATGACTTTGGTAGATGGCATCTACTGCAATTTTCTATATTTGGTCATATTAATATAATAAAAATAATGGTTCTCCTGAAAATATTATATTTATTCCAGACGTTACCTATTTCTCTGCCACAATCAAAATTTATAAAGTTTAGGAAATTTTTTGTTTCATTCATTTGGAGTAATAAACACCCCCACTAAGCATATCAAATTACATAATTACATAGTTACATAGCTGAAAAGAGACTTGCGTCCATCAAGTTCAGCCTTCCTCACATTTTTTGCTGTTGATCCAAAAGAAGGCAAAAAACCCAGTCTGAAGTGCTTCCAATTTTGCAACAAACTAGGAAAACATTCCTTCTTGACCCCAAAATAGCAGTCAGATGTCTCTTTGGATCAAGCAGCTATTACCCCACTAATTAGAAATTATATCCCTGTGTGTTAGGTTTTGCAAGTATTTATCCAATTGCAGTTTAAACATCTGTATAGACAAAACCACCTCTTCAGGCAAAGAATTCCATATCCTTATTGCTCTTACTGTAAAAAAACCTTTTATTTGCCTTAGATGAAATCTCCTTTCTTCAAGTCTAAATGTGTGACCTCGTGTCCTATGTATAGCCCTGTTTATGAATAGATTTCCAGATAATGGTTTATACTGGCCCCAAATATATTTGTATAATGTTATCATATCCCCTCTTTTCCAAACTAAAAAGATTTCAATTTTTTAACCTTTCTTCATAACTAAAATGCTCCATTCTTTTATCAATTTTGTAGCTCGTCTCTGCACTTTTTCTGGTGCCATGATATCTTTCTTTAGAACAGGTGCCCAAAATTGCACAGCATAATCAAGGTGTGGTCTTACCAGAGATTTATAAAGAGGCAAAATTATATTTTCATCTCGAGAATTTATGCCCCTATTTATACATGACAAAACCTCACTGGCCTTAGCAACGGCAGATTGACATTGCATATTTCTGCCTAATTTGTTGTCTATAACAATTCCCAAATCCTTCTCGTGTGTGGTTATCCCTAGTTCACTACCATTTAGGGTGTAAATTGCTTGTGCATTCTTAACCCAGAAGTGCATAACTTTGCATTTCTCTACGTTAAATTTAATCTGCCATTTTAGTGCCCAGTCCCCCAATCTATCCAAATCCCTCTGCAGCAAGGCAATATCCTGCTCACATTTTATCTTTACAAGTCACAGGGATAAGGGTGGGCTGTCCCTTCCCAATCTATATCATTATTATGCTGCAGCCTTACTAACCAGATTGAGAGAATGGACTAATGTGAAGTGCGACAACCATGGTATACTTTAGAGCAGAGCTTTACAAAAGTGCCCTTATATAATCTTCCCTGGTTAAATTTATTATTGCAAGACGAAACAATACCAACTGTTAGTGAGCTGCTGGGTCCTTCTAATTTGCTGACTTTGTTGGATATATTAAGATATTTCCAACTTGCTAATTTCTTACGAAAAAAGTCTTACCTAATTGGATATCGAGAGAGCTCTCTTCTTTTGAACTTCTTTATATCTCTAATACACAAGGTGCTTGTTCTTTGTCTAAGATATATGCTATGATCCAGAGTGGGTTAATGGATGAGGCACCTGTTCATTTTCAGAACAAATGGACAGCAGTTTTACATATACAATTAACAGCTAGTTATTAGTCGTATATTTTTCAAAAGGTTATGATAAACCTGGTCCGTCAGAGTAAAAGGGAAACCTTTTTATAAAGGGGTAACACGTTGGTATAGAACCAACATTCTTAAAATGGGAGATGCAGTCTATGACGAACTGAGCCTTATCACGTGTTCTGGAAGTATCACGAGGGAGGACAGTTGGTTCTACTCCTCAGCGGCAGCATACCATACTGGGAGAGGGGATAATCTGTCCCCCTCCCCAGTGGAAGCCGTCAGTACCGGAAGAGGAGACAGATGCCCCCTCCTACCCACTACAAGAGGAATACCGGGAGGAGGTGGATGACTCCTCCTCTCAGCATTAGCTGCCCAACAGGTTCATGGGGGTAGTGGAGGAGACGTCAATACCCACTGACCCCATCCCAGCGGAAGAGCTGGCATCAGGGCAGAGCGCAGCTGGCCTCTGCCTTACCAGTCCCCTTATTACAGCGCTGGACTGTCCCCAGGTCTCCCCAGCAGAAGTGCTGGCATATGGGCAGAGTGCAGCTGGCCTCTGCCCTCACCTTTCCCTTTGTGCAGGGCCTGAATACCCACTGTACTACCCAGCTGTAACGCTGGCTATGGGGCAGAGTGCTGCTGGCCTCTTCCCACCAAGTACCCACAACTCCAAGCACAAGGGAGATCAGGGCGATGGACACCCACTCAGCAACCTGGGACATACAGGACAGAGCTGGACCCCAGAAGCCACCAGGTCAACTGTTTGTTTATGGGTGGGCTACTCAACTAACGAAGGTCAGGTACCTGCTTAGTCTTCCTTAAAGGGTGAAGAAATGTGACAAACTGAGACTCGTCACATGTTCTTGGAGGGGCCTGCTGGCCAGCCTCTTACCAAAAGACTATGGACCCTTTAAAAACTATGTGAACAGACTTGGTTCGTTGGATTTTATATTTGTTACAGAAACCGAACAGCCACACGAACCGGAACCGGAGACCACCCTGGAGCTTGTTAAGTGTGCTTGGAGTTGTGGGTACTTGGTGGGAAGAGGCCAGCGGCACTCTGCCCCATAGCCAGCGTTACAGCTGGGTAGTACAGTGGGTATTCAGGCCCTGCACAAAGGGAAAGGTGAGGGCAGAGGCCAGCTGCACTCTGCCCATATGCCAGCACTTCTGCTGGGGAGACCTGGGGACAGTCCAGCGCTGTAATAAGGGGACTGGTAAGGCAGAGGCCAGCTGCGCTCTGCCCTGATGCCAGCTCTTCCGCTGGGATGGGGTCAGTGGGTATTGACGTCTCCTCCACTACCACAAACAAGGGGATCAAGCTCCAGGGTAAGACTATTGACTATGTTCGGTAGTTTGTTCATTTTTTAAACTACCAAAAGTAGACCATGCGGGCAGTCAGTCAAAATTAAGACTTCCAGGAAATTCCTGAACCCCTGAACTGATCTGGGTGATTTTTGGATATGTTGGTCACCCAGATCAGGGCTATCAGGGGATGTAACTTTTGTGGGGATTTTGTGTGTTTTTTGTTATTTTGGGGGTTTTGTAAAAATGTGTGTTTTTTTTGTGTTTGGAGATAATTGAGTTTAGTATAGTGCTTGACTTAATTATCTCTTCGCTCTCTGGACTAGGAGAGGTCTACCCACTGGAAGCTGGATCCTGGTCTTGGGTCCAGGGTGGGTGGAGGACAGAGAGACCCAACCAAGCTGCGGCGGTTTGTGGTGTTCCAGCGCAGTGCTTATGGTGCTCGCACGTTCTAGGAAGCAGTGAATGATGGAGGTACCCGGGCAGGGTGCCAGGCGGTCCGTCACACAGTCCACAAAATCTGGAGTGTTGAAGGCTGCCTATCCCTGCCATAGGCCCTAGTCGGCTACCTAACGTCACCTGATGGTTAATCCTGATCTTTTTTCCTGGGTCTCTAAAGCTAGTGTATTGTTATAAACATCTAGAGTTTTTGTTTTGTTTTTTTAGCTAAAGGTTTATAAATAAACATCATTGTTTCTAAAAGTATCATCACCTTGTATGAACTGTTAATAAGGAAACAGTCTGATTTCAGAGATTAAACATATTTTTACAGGTACGTCCCCTGTAAATATGTGTTCTCAGATGTACATATATAACAATTTTGAAGTAGATCAATATAGATGATCTTGCTAGACTCACATTGTTTTTAAGCTCAGTATGTCATCACTATAAAGATAATGTCAGCTATTTATTGTAAAAATTCATTAAAAGTTTCCTGTAACAATTTTTGGTACATTATCATCTCTATTGAATAACTAAAACCTATGTCTTTTTAATACCACTGACAATGTCCTCAATATATAGGGAGCAAGAGGTAAGACTTCCACTAATACTGGTGAACACTTCCGGTTCACCAGTATTAGTGATTAATAGAGATTATGAGGTTATTTGGAGATCGGGACCTTTTAAAATGATGTCCTTCATAGACCCTTTCCCGGGGACCCGTTGTTGCTGTTTTCCTGCCCCCTTGAGGGATTACCATCCCATTTGCAAAGATTATACAATTGGATCACTTTGGCAGCATACAGGTAGCTGGGGCTCCTTCAATACTGGAGGTAGTGGCTATAATTTAGGGCAATTGTCCAATGGATAAACATAAAGCTTTGGTTTACAACTCTCTGCAATCTTTTCATAGGACATTGTATTATTGGATAGAATATACCTCCGTCTTTTCTCTTTCTTTTGCATCTTATTTTCATGCTCTTTTCCTCTCCTTTTTGTGTGTGCTGTTATATTCTTCTTTCTGGTGTATTTACTTCTGTACAAAAAGGTCTTAATGGAAATACACACTACTGTGCGATGTTAAGTTATCTGATGGCTCTTTCGATACATCTCTGTATTCCTGTCCATACTTAAATAGAGTTTTTAAAAATGTTTTTGTAAATAGATGAAGTGGAAAAATTCTCAGCAATACTTCCAGTTCCAGTTCAATTGTTTTGGTCTAAAGTTTTGAATTTCCTTTTAATTACTGATAATTCTCCTTTTACTAAATAAACCTGCATGTAGCATCATTAGGGTTAGACCTCTCATTACAGTTCATGGAGTGTATCCAAATTACAATACTTCAAACCTTGACAAAGGTCCTAATTGGAATTAAAATGTTGGCAGTTTGGTTCTGGAATTTTTGGAATGAAATGATGCCAATTAACTTCAATAAACAAAGAAATGTTTAATAAAATTAGAGGGGGGGGGAGGGGGAGGGGGGTGAAAGAAAGTGGAAGACATATTTGTAAAATAACAGCCTGTCCAACCTACCAAACTCCACTAACATCTAGTTGTGAAGCTGTAGAAACATTTTTCAACTTTCTTGTACAATTTTAGGTGTATGCCAAGTTATTATAATGTAGAAGAATTAACAAAATTAGACCAGCCCTGATGTAATGACATTTACCCATGCCAAACAAGTGTACTCCAGATTTTGATTACTAATGTACAGGTAACTTTTTTTGTATACATTAAGACTGTATAGCATAGTAAATGCTCCCCAAAGAGTAGTGTGAGTTTAACCCCTTAAAGACACAACTTCTGGAATAAAAGGGAATCATGACGGAATATTTCCAACATGTGTCCTTAACGGGTTAAAGGGATACCAAACACACCACGACAGCTTCATCTCACTGAAGTGGTTTTGGTGCATACACCTCTTTTTTCAGGCAATGTAAGACATTTAACATATATCTGAAACCATACCTTTGGTGGCTGTCAGATTAGCAGCCACTAGACGTATTTCCACAATGAAGACTTTTGAAAATCAAAGGTCTTCAAGAATGGTGATATTTTCAGTGTTTCTCTATGAAATGTATTGGATTAAATGAAATTTAATATTACTATGGCTTTTACCAGAGGCAGAGCAACGACCTTGAGGAGACGGTCTTATGCTGGAAAAAGTGGTTTCCTTAAATTTAAAATTTAAAAAAAAAAGTAATTAAAAACAATATATTTATTTTTAACATTAGAAAGTTCAGTAGGTGAAGGGCAGAGATACATGTTTGCATCATGTAATATTGTAGCATCTACATGGTACAATATCCCATTGCACAGCCATCACCTCTGGGATCTGAGCCAGCCCACCATGCAACTCTCTCTTTACTAGGGTGCTTCTGTGATTGCCACCAATCTCCCTGACAGATAATCTGTCCACGTCCAAACAGCTGCCGGTCATGGCCACATACTGGCCAATGGACTTCATGGCCCCTTGCTTGTAACTCTTCTGCCACGTCCTTCAAAATGCCATCCTCAAGGAACAACTGCCATTTACGATCTGTATAAAAAAAAAATAGAGTAAGTACATGGTTAAGATGCACTTTAAAAGTAAAATGATGCACATACACAAAGCGAGTAGACATACATGGCTATTAAAGGGAAAATTCAAATTGAATTTCAAGTTTAAGGTCAAAATAGCCAAACTGAAAAAATTCTCTATTGTAGCGATGCTTCTAGTTTAGATACTCTGACTTTAAATTTGAAATTCACTTTGAATTCTCACTTTAGTAAATAACATTTTCAGAATTCGTACACAGTATGATTAAGAAAAAGGGTGAGTATGATTAAGAAAAAGGGTACAAAGAGGTTTTTATGAGAATATCTGTAACTAGCAATCATATCAAAAATGTTCAAGCAATTTAGTTTATTCTGGATTTCATATATGTTGATTTTGGCTTTATTAATATGATATATTATCTTGACCGAGATTATTCTGAAATATAGAATTATTGAGGTGTCTTACTTTTTACAGGACATCTATGAAAAATGTAGGTGAATGTAATAAGTCATATCAGTAGTGGATTAATTCACTAAACTTTAAGTTGATAGCTGGGTTGGAAAATGTCACTTAAAACTAGCAGAACCAAAATACTAACAATAACTCATAGAATGGTGAATAAATCACCAATCATAAACACAAAATAATTCATTGTATGTGTGGAAAAGCGATGAGTTGGATCATTATAGTATGTTTAATAGTCTTATTAACCCCTTCAACTCAGCAGTTGTGTATATACGATTGTCACACCCCACAATCATGTATACATGATTTGCATAATTTCAAATGAAATTTGCTTATTGCAAATTAATTTTGTTTGCAAATTATGCCTTTAAACAATGCTGAAAAACAAAAGCCACGAAATTGTGAACTTCATAGTGCTGAACACAGAGACTGACTGTTCAGCACTCTGTAGCAGCTCTTCTCCTCAGAGCTGCTACAGTACCTGAGTGAATGGAGGGGAAGCGGGCTGCATCCTCTCTCCTCCAGTT